CACCCTCCCGCCTTTCCTCCCTCTCTCTCTCTGTCTGTCCCCTCCCCCCTCTCCTCCACACATGTTCACGCTGTGCGTTCTTCGTCTTGTCGTCAGGGGTTCGATGCGCATCGGCAGCGACTTCATACTGTTCACGAAGAAGGCTGCGACGATGACGTGTCTCATGATGTCTCGCACGTTCCACGAGGAAGAGAAGATCGAGGAGGTGAGTCGTCGTCGATGGTTGCCATGGTTACCACCAGGGTAAAAAAAAATACACGTGAGCGACGAGCGATTCGCTCTTCGAACCTCTGAAATCGCTCCCGTGAGGCTCAAAATAGCTCCCGTAAAATTTTTGACGTGAGATTTTTCCCACAGGCTTTTAAAAAAGAGCTCCCGTGAAAAATTCCCCTGGTTACCATTCTTACTTGCTGTGGTTGTCATCCATCTTTGTTGCCGAATTGCAAAATTGGTCCAACTCGCCAATTTGACAACATAGTCGGTAGTGTACACCCAGCCTTACTTGCCGTGACCCCCCCCCCCCCCCCGCAAATTGGCCAGACGTCCCCAAGAATGAACTGCCACGGCTAAAATGTTTGCGTCAGCGTCTATCCAACTTGTCGCGGTCGTGCTCTAATATATTTTCGATAAACCGAAAGACAATTTCCTTGCTCTAAAAATGTTTAAAGTACTACCCACGGGCGTTCGTTCGTTGCCGTCGACGACGCGTTTTGGCAGTTGGGAGTCGTGGCCCGCGAGTGTTCTGTTGTTTTCCGTCTGGTTTTTCGTTTAACTCTTTCCCCATGTGTTGTCCACACACCACAGGTGATTGTTCCACTGCCGTCGTTTGACAGCCAGAGCAAGCGAGCGCTCGGGAAGGCTGGCAAGGCACTGGAGAAGGTAAGGATTAGGGCTAGGGATAGAGTTAGGGTTAAGTATACAGTTAGCATTGGGGTTAGGTTAGGGATAGAGTTAGGTTAGGGCTAGGTTTAGGGTTAAGTATAGAGTGAGCATTGCAGGGTTTCTTCTGCGCACGCACACGTTGAGTAAAATGACGCATGAGTCAAAAATTATCAAACACGTTTGATATTGAGTAAAATGACGGAATGCGTCAAATTACTCAACGAAAATCCACCGCAACACGTGAGTAAAATGACTCGTGCGTCCTTTTACTTGAGTAAAATTACTCGCGTGTGCGCCGGGCTTAAGTTCCGCCTAGAAGCAAGCTTCTTCACCGCTCCCGCCCGCGTTCCAGCACAAGCTGGAGATGGACCTGATCTACAAGTACTCGCCGTTCCACACGCACGAGAGCTTCATGCGCTCGTTCGACTCGATCCGAGGCGGCTCCGGCACCCTCGTCATCATCTACAACCTCAAGCTGATGGACAATGGTCAGCCCGAGCTCGACGTGATGACCGGAAGCGAGGACATCCTGCTGTCGCAGCCGCACACTGCAGACTTCGACATGGAGGACGGGTGAGTGAGGGCGTGGTGGGGCAGGGTGAGTGAGGGCTAACACGCGTAAGAACCCAATACACAACATTTTCCCATAATTCACGCACGCACACTAATTCACAGTAATGCACGCAATTCATCTAAACCCAATCAATCTCTCTTCTCGCAGTTACGTAAATGTGCCGCCCCACCACGCCCTCACTCACCCGTCCTTCATGTCAAAATCCGCCGTGTGCGGCTGCGATAGTAAGATATCCTCCCTCCCCTCTCCCACCCCGCCCCATCATAGACACCTGTCTATAAAGGACACCTTTAGAGGGGTTTTCTTAAGCGACCATCATGCGCAGGTTCGACCGTAACAGTTTGACAAAAATCGGAAGTCCGCGCGTCCATGGCAACGGCTGCTGCTTACTTCTGCTTCCGTTCGGCTAGTTCCTTCTTCAGGTTGGCTTCCCGTCTCACCTCGTGTGCGTGCGACTGCGCCTTTCGCAACGCCACCTGCAGGGGAAAAATACGATCATAGGGCGCGAGCGAGTGTCAACAGTTCCTATGGTCAGCGGCATCAATGGTTAGCTGTTTGTGACCATGTGTGTATGTACGTGCGTGCACGTTTGTGCATGTGTATGTACGTGCGTGCACGTTTGATCGTATATATACGAGCATACATTATAATATATGCGTTTCTGTTGCTGTCTGCCTACTTTTCTTCTTTTGCATTGTCACACACTCACGCAAAACGTGTAGAAACATGCGCACGCCCACACATGCACGCACGCAACGCACGCACGCACACGCACGCACACGCACGCACGCACGCCCACACGCATAACACGCATGCACGCACACACACACACACACACACACACGTACGCACGCACGCACGCACCCACGCCCACACGCACACACACACACACACACCCACACGCACGCACGCATGCACGCCCACACGCACGCACACGCACGCACGCATGCCCACGCACGCATACACGCCCACACGCGCACGAACACAAACACTCGTGGGAGTGACTCACCCGCGCATCTTTGCTAGTGGGAGTTGCCGAATGTTTGTGTTCCAGGGCCTTTGCCTTGCTCTCTGCCTCTCTCGCTTTCTCCTCAGCTGCCAAAAACAAAACAAAAAACACTCAATCTGCAGTCGCCGTGACGACTCGCACGCCAACCGACAAGAATGCGTCAGGATGTACCCAACCGATGGCATCGCCGTGGCAACGAAAACACTAGCAGACAGGACGGGTAAACGCGCACGTATCAGTCACGTGGTCAATGATGTGCGCACCAAGGAGCTAAATATAACAAGGAGAGGAAGCGCCGCCATATCTGGCCCAAATTTGGGTTCGGCAGAGACCCTAGTAGTAGAACAGAGAAGTGTTCTATTGTCTCTGGGTTCGGTCTGCATAGCCGTTTCAGCTGATTATGGTCCATAGATGGCGCCCTTGAGGCGAAAAGCACACAGCCAATCTGCTTCCTCTCCTTGTTATATTTAGCTCCTTGGTGCGCACAACGATGTGCGCACGGGCAAACATAACCGTGACCACCTTGCAATTCTCGCCGATCGATAAGATTAATTATAATAATTACAATTATTCATTCTTATTTAATTAACTGCAACAGACTCCGCGCGCACCGCCCGTCGTTTGGCGCGCAAACGCGAACAACGATCGCCGCGGCGACACCGCCACACGACAGACGCGACGGTCGCCACGACGACGCCGCCACACGACGGTCGCCGCGGTAACACGCGCGCGCGCCACTCACCGACGTTGGCGTTGTGCTTGGCCTTCTTCACCTCGATCTCGGAGCGCGTCTTGAATCGGCTCGACGCGTACTTGTACATGCGCGGCCGGTAGAGGCAGTTGACGAGTCGCTCGGTGCGCACCTTGACGTTCTGCACGTAGATGCGCATGCGCGGGTCCGCGTAGAGGATCGCCGTGTACGCGCGGAACGACTTACGCTCCGGCATCAGCCTGCCGCGAGAGACAACGACGGGAGAAACGGTTGAATATCGTCACGTGTCGCGAGTTTCCGACGTAATATAATATAGCATGATATGATGACATGACAGAACACAACATAATGTAACATAACATAACATAACATAACATAACATAACATAACATAACATGTCATAACATAACATAACATAATAGAACACAACACAACATAATGTAACGTAACATAACATAACGTAACCTAACATAACACAACATAACACAACATAACATAACATAACATAACACAACACAACACAATATAACATAACATAACACAACACAGCACAACACAACATAACATAACATAACATAATACAACACAACATAACATAACATAAAATAACATAAAATAACATAACATGTCATAACATAACACAACATAACACAACATAACATAACATAACATGTCATAACATAACGTAACGTAACACAACACAATGTAACATAACATAACACAACACAACACAACACAACACAACACAACACAACACAACACAACACAACATAATAACTAGTAATATACGACAATCCGACTAAATCATCATGTTCAACGATGTACCCCCCACCCCCACTTCAAACTGATAAAGCGTAGTAACAGTCAACCGCGCATCAGCGTACACCTCCACAGCACAGACACCTGTCTATAAAGGACAACCTCTATAGAACGGACACCTCTCTATAAAGGACAACCTCTATAGAACGGACACCTGTCTATAAAGGACAACCTCTATAGAACGGACACCTGTCTATAAAGGACAACCTCTATAGAACGGACACCTGTCTATAAAGGACAACCTCTATAGAACAATTATTATTATTTATAATTATTTATTTAACATAGAGAATCGTGCGAGTGTTTGGCACATACCGAGATCTATGTCTGTCCAGTACTGCATCATGTATTCTCCCATCGCCTTCTTCAGGTGTCTGTACTCCTTGCCATCCGCAAAGTCCTGCTTGTTGTGGGTCGGCTCCAAGACCAGATACGGAACGTCGACGATCCCCATCACGCCTCCGCCCACCCTGAAACACAAGAACGTCTTGTCATTACTGCCGTAGATGGCAGCACCCATCACACCTGCGCCCACCCTGAAACACACGAACGTCTCACTGCTACTACTACAGATGGCAGCACCCATCACACCTGTGCCCACCCTGAAACACACAAACGTCTAATTATTACCACCACAGACGGCAGCACCCATGACACCCCTCCGACACCCTAAAACACATGTACATCTTATAACTACCAGCCCTGCTCTCTATAGATGGCGCCACCCGTCACTGAACAAAGCGATCCCCACAAAGCAAACAATCGACAACAAATAACTCCACTTCGTCAAATCGCGAGCGCGATTTCGCGCCGGGAGGTCGTGACAACGTGGCAAGGTTCACGCCAAAAATCCGACGCAAAACAAGTGAGCGCGGGACGACCAGCGCCACCTACTGGTTTCCCTCGAGCTGCGGCCCGACACGCTGGTACATCTTGATGAGTCGGCTGCAGTTGTAGACGAACATGCCATCCTGACTCCGATTCTCCAGGTTGAGTCCGAAGACAAAGTTCAACGTCTTTGGTTCCTTCAGGGACCTGAGAGGGTCAAAAGAATATGTGAACGTTTTAAGATTGCCTTTCACTTACCAAAGCTTTTGAGAATCTTCTGCCAAAGAAAATACAAAGAGCAATTTGTAACGATCATAACATCAACTAAAACATTACGAGAACTTACTCTAACCAATTACTCAACAATTGATATAAAAAAAAATTAATTAAAAATTTTATTTACATATTTATTATTATTTATAATTATTTATATTATATTACATATCTCTGTAAACTGCATCAATGAAATGTGTTATGCATGTATACAATGCGTGCAATGTGTGAACACATTGTTTTCATGTACCATACTTGTATTACACTATAAAAAAAATTCCTAGTTTTTTCCTGTAATATATTGATGCATGTCTCTGTTGCTCGCGCACGTGTCAGCGTGCGTGTATTCGTCGATTAATTAACTCCTGAACGAGCCACGCCTAACGAGCTAGATTGATCGTTACTTTGCCGCTTTGCTTGCGCCGCAGGGAGAGCTACGGTTACCTGGATAAGAAGTGGTACGAGTCGCCGAGCGACGATCAGAAATACGTGAAGAAACGTAACATGCAAGTCAGCAAGTGTGTGCAGTGCGGTACGTGTTGACGCCGGCGCCATCTGTGGGCAGATTACCGCGTAATTAGTGTTGCGCCACAGTAGTGTGTGCGTGCGTGCGCGTGCGCGTGGTTAAGGTATATGTGTGTGCGTACATGCGTGCGTGCTTGTGTGCGCATGTGTTCTTTTATGTGTGTGTGTGCAGGCATGTGCATATCTGTACATACATGTGTTTGGATGTATGTACCAAGGGTTACACGTGTGTGTTTTTCTTACAGACGAGTGCCTGAAGTGGCGTATCTTGCCCTTCTCGTCCAAGGACGTCGGTCAGGACCTGCCCGACTACTGGGTGTGCAGCATGAACATAGACACACAACACAACCGGTGCGTAGCTGATGCCTAGGGAGGGGGTGGGGCAGAGGTGGGTGAGGGGGGAGGGGGTGGGACAGAGGTGGGTGAGGGGGGAGAGGGTAGCACACACGGTCCAGTAGTTGTATTCTGGGAGAGAGAGATAGTACGGCTTTATATCTGTGCGTGTGTGTGTGCGTGCGCGGTTTCCTTTCCCGGTTGTCCGTGGGTAGTTGCATTCAGATGGGAGCATTCTGTCTGTTGCAGGTGTTCTTCTGCCGAGGAGAGATCGAAGATCGCCGAGGGAGTGCTTAAGATTAAACATAAAACCGCAGAGGACAAGAAACAGGAGTTGACTGAGGCAAGGAGCTAAATATAACAAGGAGAGGAAGCGCCGCCATATCTGGCCCAAATTTCGGTTCGGCAGAGACCCTAGAACAGATTAGTGTTCTATTGTCTCTGGGTTCGGTTTGCACAGCCGTTTCAGCTGATTATGGTCCATAGATGGCGCCCTTGAGGCGAAAAGCTCTTTCTCTCTCTCTCTCTCTTTTCTCTCTCTCTCTCTCTCTCTCTCTCTCTCTCTCTCTCTCTCTC